GAATCGACGCACCGTTTTACAGTCTCGCCGGCGTTGATCAGTAGCGACCCATACCTGGCGCTCTTCGTTGTGGAGAGGAAGAACCGCCGATCTCACGCTGGCGCTAGGTGGAAGCAGATCCTGCGATTGTTCTTGATCGCCATGCGCGAGGGCTGGTGTGATCTGGATCTGCTGCTGGATCCTTATTTTCTCGATTTTCCCAAGCGAACGGACGAGGTGGCTTGGTATCCCGGGATTGAGGCTCGCAGTGCCAACCTCGCGGATCCGCAACTGCATCGTCGTGAGCCTGCCGACCTGATCGAGGCTCTTGCCGAGTGCGACGCCGCGGATCCGTGGCGTACACATTACCGACTGCATCATGCGGGCCACCCCGCACGCCGGATCGCACGTCTCGCCGGTAAATTTTTCAACATGGCAGCTCTGAACCCCAACGCGCCGCCTCTTCCTCCTCAGCCGTGATCCTGACACTTCTCCATGCATTCTTTTCAGATCATCTTCGTTAAGCGTAATACATGTCATTTTCTTTTCAGATCTGCGTTCGTCAGTGTCTTTTGTTTCCACTAAGGCTTTCAGATAATACAGCCCTAGATCCACAATCGAAATTCGTTCCCGCTCACTCCATGTCCATCTCAGAATCAATCCCTTTCCACTCCGATCTTCTATCATCATGTCATCATATACAAAGTCACGTAAACCCTGTCCTCCGATCTGCAGCCTCCTTGCAGATTCATCAACCTCCAACCACACCAGTGGCCAACTCACCGGTGTGTATCCGGATCTCACGGTTCTTCGTGAGACTGCATCACACCAAAGTGGTTGCGATTAGTGCGATCTCGCACTCATAGCGAAGAGCACCGCAGTTGAGATCTGCCTCATCTACCCAGGTTGGATCTTCATATCCACGCCGGTGTATTAGAAATTCTCGGTCGATCCGGCCATATATAGTTCTCTTGCCAGTCCTCATATCGGAAATTCGCTCCACTTCGTATTCATTCGGATCCCGATCCTGGATCCTGCTGTCTTCAGGTAGGAGAGCTTCATCAAGGTCCACCCGATCTCCTATTGACTCATCTAGACGAGCAACTGGTCGATCTGGGAATATGTTCACCAGTTTGATCTTCGAAACATGGAGATCAATGCCTTATCCACTTCGGATCTAGGGGTAATACTGCCCGCCAATGATCCTAAGATCTCGTCCTCTCCTTTGACACACTTAGTGATCTCCAGAGTCCAGGGCGACAACAGAGCAGCCCACTGTCTCAGACGTCCCTGTAGGGTCGTGGATCTGAAGAGCCACACCAATGTTGAGTGTCGGGTCAACACGTGGATCGGGCGTCCGATCAGTGCATTGTAGTTAAGATCCAAGATCCTCAGAAGGGCTAATACCTCCTTCTCCGCGATGCCATAGTTTAGCTCATTCGACTTCAGAGCGCGGCTTGCAAACATCACGGGGTAGTAGATCTGATCGTATTCCTGCATCAATGATCCCGAAATGGCCCAATCGCTAGCATACACCACAACTATGGCCTTCCGATCTGGATCAAAGTGCCATAGGATCGGAGTAGTAGCGTACTTGGCTTTGAGTGCACTGAAGGATCGAAAGTGCCGTAAGATCGGAGTTGTAGAGAACCTAGTTTTAAGCACACTAAAGACCGATGGGCATGGATCCAACGCGGATCTACCTCAGTAGGATCTGGCGCCTCCAGATCCAAGGTCTTTCGGTGGCCGATGCCCTGATCTTCCTGCGCTCCTTGATCCACGTTCTCCACTTCCAGTACTTGTTGGATCCGCGCTTGGGTAGCCTCCTTCATCATCGGAACAAAGTCGTTTCTCGCAATTCGTACAGAACCGACGCGTAGATCGCGTAGTCTTCGATAAATCGGATATAATAGTTCAGACTTCCCAAAAATGACTGCATAGCTCTGAGTGATCCTGGAAATGCTAGATCAGTCAATGCAGGCAGATCTTTCGGATTCGCCTCCAGGCCATTGTGAGAAACCTATGCCCGAGATATTCCACTTTAGGCATTCCCCAGAAACTCTTAACCACACTGATTGACAAATTCCACTCATCACACGCTTCGAGTAAACCTTCGACTCGATC